CCCTGACCACGCCCCCAGCCCCTCACTGGGGATTCTAGGCGGGGGCTCCGTTCTGTCAACCCTCTGCCTCATCCTCCGCATCACACCTGCTATCTCTTCGTGTTTTCATTTCTGAAGTCTTGTTTAATCCTCTCCCAGCCATGCTGGCAGCCCGAGAGGCCTGCTCTGCGTGGTGTTTCCGGAGCAGCAGACGCTCTGGGTCTGAGGCCTGGGAGAGACCTCTGAGAAGGGAACTTGGCGTGCTTCGGGGCCCCGGCTCCGTCTGCACAGAACAGCTCCACGCCGTGCAGCAGCCGCACTGGCAACAGACGGATCGACAGAGGCTCCGGGCGCAGGGCACAAGTGGATCCGCACGCAGCGTGCCGAGGAGCTGAGGATGCCACCAGAGCCGGGGATGGAGGAAGGGCTCCCCCATTACCCGCTCCGGCTTGAGGAGTTCTTTCCAGAACCCCCCAGGCTGAGCCTGTGGGTCCCAGGGATCGAACTCGAGCTGTGTGGCACGCGCCTACACCGGCTCAGTCTCGCGGCCCCCATTGGGTAGCTTTTGAGCGGGACATGTGTGAAGGCGAGGTTTTCAGAGGAAGTGTGAGCACGCCCTGTGCGGGGGTGGGGTCCCCAGGAGAGGGCTGCTTTCGGCTCATCAGGACGGGCGGCTGGGAGCCTCTGCGTTTTCTCCTCCGGTGGGAAAAACAGCACATTGCTGGGCGTTTTTTCCGAGGTTCACGGTTGGGGCGGAGTGGAAACTGAGGCCTGAAGTGTGTGCTGGATGCAGCAGGTCCCGGCCCGGGCAGGCCCAACTGGCTCCAAGGACAGGCGTGCCCAGCAGCCTCGAGGGCCCCCTCCGTCCCCCGGGTCCCCAGAGCTCCCCTCCCTTCCTGCCCTGCGCGCCCGTCACCAGGCTCCTGCGCCAGCAGGGTGGCCCCAGCCTCGCAGGTTTCTGGTCTCCCACCTGCCCCGCCCCCGGGGCGCCCTGACTTTCGGTAAATGAGGCGGCCAGGAAGCCCGGGGGCCGCACAGGAAGGAGCGGGGACTTTCCTGTCGCAGCGCCGGCTGCCGCCGCCTCGGCGCGGCTTCAGGTAGG